CCAACCCAAACCCGAATCACATAGGTTATGGAATTAATTCAAATTGTCCCGACCCATTCTTACCAACCAAAACCCGACCCGTTTATTCGAATTGACATCTCTACCCGAAACCTCCAAAATTTCTCAAAAAGCGTGGATAATGCCTTCGGTTTTCGAATATTTTTACTTTTTTCACCCGGAAATAAAAATTGCAGAAATGTTTACCATGGTCCCTAATATCTTCCAGGAGTCTAATTGGCTGGGAGGAACCATCCAATTTGCCTTTAAACGACCAATTTATCAGTTTACAACTTGCACCGATTTCATTGACACAAGCCTACCATTAACATTTATGACAACAGATAATGATCATATATGGTTCCAAACAGCATTATATGACCCCGAGATGTATCTTCTAAAATTTCAAGACTTTTCAACACCGGGCCCCGAAACTTCCAAAATTTCTCAAAAAAGTGGATAATTAGTCTTCAATTTTGGAATTTTTGACTGTTTTTCACCCGGAAATAAAAATTGCCGAAATATTTACCACGGTCCCTATTACCATTCAGGAATCCCATTAGGTGGGTGGAACTATCTTATTCGCCTTTAAACGACCAATTTACCGGTTTACAACTTGCACCGATTTCATTAACTCAAGCTTACCAAGAACATTTATGACAACAAATAATGATCATGTATGGTTCCAAACAACATTATATGACCCCGATATGTATCTCCTAAAATTCCAAGACCTTTCAACACATGACCCCAAAATTTCTCAAATTCAATTTTGGAATTTTTTGGCTTTTTTCGCCCAGAAATAAAAATTGCCGAAATGTTTTCCATGGTCCCTAATACCTCCCGGGAGTCTAATTGACTGGGTGGAACCATCCAATTTGCCTTTAAACGACCAATTTACCGGTTTACTACTTGCACCGATTTTATTAACACAAGCTTCCCACGAACATTTATGAGAACATAAAATGATCATATATGGATCCAAACGGTATTATATAAACTCGAGATGTATCCCCTAAAATTTCAATGCCTTTTGACACGGGTTCTTGAAAATTCGTAATTTCTCAAAAAGCGTGGATGTTAGCCTTCAATTTTGGAATTTTTTTTACTTTTCTTCGCCCGAAAATAAAATTGCCGAAATGATTACCATAATCCCTTATACCCTCCGGAAGTCCAATTGAGTAGGTGGAACCATCCTATTTGCCTTTAAACTGCCAATTTACCGGTTTACAACTTGCATCGATTAAATTAACTCAAGCCTGCTACGAACATTTATGACAACATATAATGATCATATATGGTTCCAAACGACATTATATGATCCCGAGATGTATCCCCTTAATTCTCAAAAATTTTCGACACCGGACCTCGAAACATCCCAAATTTTTTGACTTTTTTTCTTCCGGAAATAAATATTGCCGAAATGTTTACCATGGTCTCTAATATCCTCCGGGAGTGCCATTGGGTGGGTGGAACCAACCAATTTGCCTTTTTTTTTTGTGATAAGGAGCAATATAGTACGCCATAACAGGCTTGAAGCCAGAAGTTAAATAATTACAAATCATAAAGTGCATCAAAGGAGCTAGCTAGCTAGAGTTATTGTCAATTAAAGGACCAAAGGTGGGTCTATTGTTCACCCCTACACAACTAGATGGATCTGGAGGAGCATATATTACATGAAATCGATCCATCAACAAAAGGTTGTTGCTAAAAACATCAGATAGAGTTAGAGTCCGCCCTTTTTCTTTGGCTAGAATATTTGCTTCCTTCACCTTCTTCCTCGGCGCATTCATTAGCAATATGGATGGATTTTCTTGAGCTAGGTCCCTGCGCATATCATATAGAAAGTATGTTTCATCAGTTGGAGTGTTGATGGAATTTATACCCAGAACCCCTCTTTGATAGTCAGAATAAATACAAATTGAGGTCCATCCCATATTTGAGCACAAAGTCATAGCAGTTAGAATAGCAAACAGTTCAGCTTGAAGAGAATTAACAGCTGGTATATGAGCCCCCACCCCCTGAACCCAGTCTCCTTTGTCATTTCTACATAAACAAGCTATACCAGCAGAAAAAGAAGCTGTAGAGAAAGCAATATCCACAAATAGGGACAAATTTAAGGGAAGGAATAGGTTTATTGATCAAGAGTTTAGAGGGACATGTACCCTGCTCAGAGATGAGGGTAATATCCTGAATGGTGGACTTAACGCCTTTAAACCACTGGTCGAGGGCCATGGTTTCTGGTTGAACACCCAGCAGTTTCTCCTAACCCATAGTTTCCACAACATAACTGCAAACGCTAGATTCCAAGGGGCATAGAAGAGATGGGTAACTGATGTAATTTGCAGAATAGAAGCAATCCAACTCTAAAAACAGAAAGGATTTGCAGATTAACACCAATTTTCCTTTAAACGGCCAATTTACCGGTTTACAACTTGCACCGATTTCATTAACTCAAGCCTACCACAAACATTTATGACAACATATAATGGTCATTTAAAGTTCCAAACGACATTATATGACCCCGATATGTATCCCCTAAAATTTCAAGACTTTTCGAAATCGGGCCCCAAAACCTCCAAAATTTCTGAAAAAGCGTGGATAATAGTATTCAATTTTGTAATTTTTTGACTTTTTCGCCCGCAAATAAAAATTGCCGAAATGTTTATCATGGTCCTTAATATCCTCTGGGGGTCCAATTGGGTTGGTGGAACCATCCAATTTGTCTTTAAACGGCCATATTACTTACTGATTTACAACTTGCACGCATTTCATTAACTCAAGCCTACTACGAATATTTATGACAACATATAAAGATCATATATGGTTCCAAACGACATTATATGACCCCGAAATGTATCCCCTAAAATATTAATACTTTTCTACACCGGGCCTCGAAATCTGCAAAATTTCTCAAATAGCGTGGATTAGTCTTCAATTTTGAAATTTTTTGATTTTTTTCTCACCCGAAAATAAAAATTACCGAAATAATTACCATGGTCCCTAATGCCCTCCGGGATTATAATTGGGTGGGTGGAACCATCCAATTTGCTTTTAAACGACCAATTTATCGGTTTACAGCTTGCACCGATTTCATTAATTCAAGTTTACCACAAACATTTATGATAACAAATTATGATCATATAAGGTTCCAAATGACATTAGATGACCCCGAGATGTATCCTATAAAATTTCAAGACTTTTCGACACCGGTCACTGAAACCTCCAAAATTTCTCAAAAAGTGTGGATATTAGCCTTCAATTTTGGGATTTTTTGACTTTTTTCGCACGGAAATAAAAATTGCCGAAATGTTTACCATGGTCTTTAATACCCTCTGGGAGTGCAATTAGGTGTGTGGAACCATTCAATTTGCTTTTAAACGGCCAATTTACCGGTTTACAACTTGCACCGCTTTACCAGTTTACAACAGCCAATTAAATTAACTTGCACCGAACCTGACTTGAACCGAAATTAACCCAATACCGTTTTAACCCGTCAAAACCCAAATTTAACCCGACTTGTTAATAACCTGACGTGAATTCAACCAGACCCGTTCCTAACCTGACCCGAATATAACCTGACCTGTGACAAACCCGACTCGAAATCAACCCGACTTATTATTGACCTGTCCTAAATTCAATCCGACTTATTATTGACCCAACCCGAATTTTACTTGACCTATTACTAACCCGACCCAAAAATTCAACCCGTTTTTTTACTAACCCGACTCGAAATCAACACAACTTGTTATTGACCCGACCTAAATTCAACCCAAAGTGTTTCTGACCCGATTTCAAATCACCTTAAATGCAATTTAGACCACTTTATTATTGTTGATCAAAGCATTTTATCTCGGGAGACCAAGTCGGTCCAGGCGAGCAAAAGAAAGGAGTGTCATCCTCAAACTTAAGACTTAAATATAGTATATATTTGTTGTATGGTCAAAGCAGATAACTATCTTCTTAAATGATAAATTATAGTTCCCTAGCATATTGCCATATATAATATCGTCAAAGGAAATTATTATCTTGATAAAAATGATAATTATCTATTTACAGTTAGTGGAACATAACCCGAATATGACCTGACTTGGAAATGTCCCGACCTGATTGTAACCTGCAATTATTGACTTGAACATAACCCGACTTGAATCTGAGAATGACCCGACTTGGAAATGACCCAAACTGATTATAACCCGCAAATTATTGACTTAAACCGAACCCGAATTGAACCCGAGAATGACCCGACCTAATTAAAATCCACAAATTATAGACTTGAATCGAACCCGACTCTAACCTGAGAATGACCCGGCCTGATTCTTACCCGCAAATTATTGACTTGAACAGAACCCGACTCAAACCCAAGAATTACCCTAACCTTTTAACCCGTGAAAACCCAAATTAAACCCGACTTATTGTTCACCCGACCCGAATGTAACCCAACTTGTTATTAACCCGACCCAAACCCGATAAGAAGTATTACCCGACATGACCCCACTCAAACGTAACCCAACCCAAACCCGACCCACATATGTTATGGAATTAATGAGAATTGACCCGACCCGAGTTAACCTGACCCACTCTTACCCGAATTGACAGTTCTAGTTGGATGTCCAAGCATAATAGCATGTATAAACATGTGGTTCATAAAAAAAACTCGGGGTTTATTTACAAATTATACCCCTTAGTACCTAAATGCGTCAATTTAGGGTGAGTTAAGCACAAATTTGGGTACTCAATCTACAATTTTTCATCGTTTAGGTACTCATTTTTTTTTCACCGTTTGGGTACTCAATTTTTTTTATTATTATTTTATTTTACCGTTTGGGTACTGAGTTCCATTTTCCAGCCAAAAAATTTAATTTTCCCTTAGAATTCAGTACCCTTGGTTAACAATTCAGTACCTTGGGTTAATCGAAAGTGGGGCCCACCCGCGGGTTTTGAATTTTTTTTCCCCTTTCGTATTCACTTATTCCCTTTATTCCCCCTTTATTCTTTCCTCTTCTGGAAAATTGTTGCACATTTGGTGAAGAAAACGAGCAAGCTTGGGGCAAATATGGGGAAAACGACACTTAGCGCAACCATTTTTTTGAGGTAACCTTCATTACTCGTTGTTTTTGTTCTTAATTTGATATAAATTACGAATTTTTTGCCCAATTGATGATCTTATTTTACGAGTTAGGGTTTACGGTTTTGTGGGTTTTTTGAACGAAATTGATGATGTCGATTTGTTGTGTTTTTTGGGCTAAATTTGTTGTTGTTTGTTGATGGATTATGCTAGAGTTGTTGGTTGATGTTGATTGCATGTTGTATAATTTGCGCAAGGGTTTGACTAATGTATGTGTTTTGCGAAGTAAAACAGGGGAGGTTTTGGTAAAAATGTGTATGTGTGATTGATGGTGTTATGTGTGTTTTTGTTGTCAATTTGAAGTGCCTAACTTCAAATTATGGTCAATGTGTTCTGTTTAGGGCAGAATGGCTGAGGCTTATTTTCTGACCTTGAAGCTCTGTTCAGAATTTTTATTTTCTTGTCCTGGATGACACTAGACTGGTAAAGAAGGGGAAGAACTGGATGAAACAGCAATTATTCAGAAATTTTGTTTTTTTTTTGTTTTGGGAAAATTTGTTGATGATGGATTTAGGATAAGAAAACTGGATTGATTTTGTTTTGCTGCTACTTTGTTGCTGCTATATTCACGGCATTTTTTTTTGCCTACTACGGCTAGTTTTTATCTGCTTCAACAGAAAAAATTAGTTATTGCTTTTTTTTTTAATTATTTTTTTTAATTAGGTATGGTTAGTGGTGAGTTAATTAGCGTGAAAATAATTTTGAGTACCTAAAAGGTGAGCAAAAAAAATTGAGTACCTAAAAGGTGAAAAATTGAAGAATTGAGTACGTGATTGTACTCTTAACTCATTTAGGGTGGCTCTATGTTTTGCAGTTTTGTGCCATAGGCTCATAGCCGTTTGCCTGTTTGTGAATTGATGATGGTAATTTTGTTTTTTTTTTGGGTTTAATAATGGTAATTATTGAAAAGCAAGGTATACATTTATAAGGCAATACGAAAAATAACGATTAAGCTTATGTCAAGTAGTTTGATTTTTTAAAACCTTTTGGCGGTACATGGCCTATCGAATTATCGATATCAAGACAAGTGTAAATCCAACTACAGTCACAGAATTCCCTCCAAAGAAGGGCCTTATCATAATGACAAACCTTATCCACCAGCAAACCACTGCTTGTAGAAGACTATGGACACCAAGACTTAGAAGCTCAAATTGCTAGAGCGATTGAAACACACAGAAAGCCATGGCAGCATTGATCTGCCACCTTCAACCAACGAATTTCCACGCTAAAGGCAGGTCGGTTATTTCTTGCACAATGCAGCAGCCAACCCAGAGTAACATCAAGGTAATATGGCATTGCTCTTACCAACATGACATCTTTTTCCAGCTATAAGCAACTCTCTCGTCACTTGATCGAGGCTCATTTGATATCTTTACAGGTGATCATAAACGGTGCTGCCAAGGAAATAGGAAGGGCAGCAGTGATGGCGGTGACCAGAGCAAGAGGAATGGAGGTGGCTGGTGCAGTAGACAACTACTATGTAGGAGAAGACATTGGAAAGGTAGAATCTCCATGTCTTTGGTTAATTCATCAGAAATGTTCTATCCTTTCAAGCTTGTCTTTAAAACCTCTGTTGCAATTGATCAGCTATGTGACATGGAAGAAGCCCTGGAAATACCCATAATGAATGATCTTACAATGGTGTTGGGCTCAATTTCACAGGTAAATTACTACAGAATTTATGCCAAAAAGTATTACTCCCTTCGTTCCACGTTGATTTGCATACTTGCCTCTGGCAAAAGATAGAGAAGTAGATATAAAGGAAAATGTAAGAGAAATTGTTGGGGGATGAAGACAGAAAATTACTTCAAAAGGAAAGTGTGCAACCAATTTGGGGCAGTGAATAAAAGCAAGTGTGCAAAATAATATGGGACGGAGGGAGTATAGCAAGTAATTTTCCTGCCTGACATTTACTTTGCGACATGAATTCAGTCAAAAGCAACAAGTGTAGTGGTTGATTTTACTGATCCTTCAACGGTTTATGACAATGTCAAACAGGTACAATTGTTTTCTTAATCCTCTGTACATATCTGAAATCACATACCCCTTTCGTACATAAAAAAAATTACATTTTGGAGTTAAGATATTACAAACCTCCCCTGTTCTGCTACACAGGCAACAGCATTTGGCATGAGAAGCATTGTTTATGTGCCGCGTATAGAGCTAGATACAGTGGCAGCATTATCTGCATTCTGTGACAAGGCCAGCATGGTGAGCACATGGTGAGACTATAATGAGAGAAAAAGTTCACAAGAAGTTTTAGTGAAAAGAAATCCACTATAGTTTATTACAGTAGCCGTTGTCCTTAAGTTCTTTGCATACATTCTTTCTGAAATTTCTGAATTCTACATGAACATTCAAATCAGGGTTGCCTTGTAGCACCAACACTGTCTATAGGATCTATACTTCTTCAGCAGGCTGCAATCACAGCCTCTTTCCACTACAACAATGTGGAGATAGTTGAATCAAGACCTACTGCAAGAGTAAGCATATGCACTAAGCTCTTTTTGTACTTTTACTTGGGATTCAGATAATAAATACTCTCACACCATTTCATAATGATAAGTAAATCCACCAACCAACATTAATGATAACAGAAAACAAATTTCAAATATGACTGCAGGACAATGGAACCTACTCGAATTTGACACTCCTTAACCTATCAATCCTTTTCTCCTTTGCTTGTTTCAAGACAGTAGATTTACAACTGTCAAAAGGCCACATCACAAACATCCCATATGACCATATATAATCGTGAAGGTAGTTATATATTGGTAATTAGAATTTCTAACCTTAATGTGAAACCAATTACATTTAGTCCTGTTCTAGTTCTTCTAGCAAATGATTATAGAAAGTCACACTTCCACATGATTGCTCTCTCTCTAATTTTATTTTTTTTAGCATTTGAATTCAACCAGCACTCCATCAGTAGCCAACTGTGTCCACAAATCTAAAGAAAGTTTTCATGTCCTTGTTATAAAGATGTGACTGGACCAGCAGACGCAATTCATTTTGACACATTACATCTTGTCCAGCTCTTTTTTAATTTGGCTTTCTTCCTTAAATATTCTTAAATAGGGCCATCCAGGCAACCACTTGAGGAACCATATATCTATTACACTTCAAGGTCAACAAATTCTTTTTTCGAGCTTAAATATTTGTGACCCTACCAAAGACGGGATCCTCATACCAGCATGATGGTCATTGCTTTGGTTCATTAGATCATAACATTAGTATGAAATAAGTTGCTTTGGTAACAGTATCAACCAAAGTTATTTATATGGAGTACTATCTAGAATTTTAAGAAAAATGCTTCATTTAATATGGTTCAGCACTAATTTTAATATCTAGAAAAACAAATGCACTAGCAATTCCTTAACCAGTAGAATAATAAACAGCTATCAAATTGACTTCTGACTGCTTTACAGGAGCTTCCATCACAAGATGCAACTCAAATTGCCAACAACTTATCAAACCTTGGCCAGCTTTACAATAGGGAAGATATCTCAACTGATGTTGTGGTAAGATAATGATCTCATATACAGGAGATATGCTAAAAATGTTGCATAGTTTAAGCACAGAGAGTTTTATAGACAACAAAAAAAGGTATAATATGTTCGAAGAATTAACAAAATTGTGCTGTCTCTTATTTCTGAAGGCAAGAGGTCAAGTTCTAGGAGAAGATGGAGTTCGAGTACACAGTATGGTCCTTCCAGGTCTACCCTCTGGCACAACAGTTTACTTCTCAGGCCCAGGAGAGGTTTGTCTAGCAAGTCCTCAAAGATTTAAAAAACAAGAAAATTTACCTCAGTTAGATTACATGGAACATACTTCTTTGACCCCCAAACCAAAATTTCTGGTTCAGGTACTAACTCTTAAGCATGAGATCACAGATGTGCAAAGCCTAATGCCAGGCTTGATTATGTCCATAAGGAAGGTTGTACGACTAAAGGTAACCAGCATTTTGTTGTTTTGCGGCTATTCTGATTGTTTGTTGAGAAAGATGTACTGCTGAATTGAGGACTTTAAGGTTTCAGACTGAATTGTCGGAGGAGTGTGGTCTGAGATACCCAAGAAAGTAAAAGTTTAGCATAGACTACTGAGGCAAAGGTGTATATATCACAAGCACAACGTTTCACTTATGAACACAGTTCCTAATCTAGAGCAATTTAGTGACAAGAGTTTCAAAAATAGATTTATCTCATATAAGAAAATTAAGAAAAGTCATAGTACCTTTTCTTTTTGAGGGAAAAAGGTAAAAATCCATGGTTCCTAAATTTTCAATGACCTCAAGATGTCTCAGTAAGGTCTCAGTGATAATGAGTAGTAGTTAATGGTGAAATTCCACTCGAACACAGAGCTAGCTCTATTATGTCATCTGCTTCTAGCTTAGCATAATTTATTTTACTTGCTTGTTGACATTATCTGAAACCAATGTTTCTCTCCGCAGAATCTCGTATATGGATTGGAGAAGCTATTGTAAAGATCAGATGTTGTTCTGTAAAGATCAGATGTTGTTCCCACAACATCAAATACTATCAGACATAGGACTTTGGAGCCTCTGTCCTTATATCTCAGACAACACTAACAGAATTTCAAGAAAAAGAGCTAGCCCAGCAATCAGATGAAAGGAAGAATATATAACACATTGAATATGTTAAATGGCAACCACACCCAGCCATTCGGAGAGCATGCAGCATGTTAGAACTGATGAGATTACACTAACAAGACAGAACTGAGGAACAATTTTTTTGGTCCAGAACTGATGAGATTACACATTTTTTTTTTTTTTTTTTTTCAGTTCTGGACCAAAAAAATTGTTCCTCAGTTCTGTCTTGTTAGTGTAGTCTTCCACCAGCTGCATTATGTTATCTTTAGTCCTGTACTATTTTTGTTCATTTTGTTATTGTCTCCAAAACCTGTGCCTTAATTCTGAAACTACCTATAGTAAAAGAAATTAACTCTTTAAGCAAAAGTGTTTATTGGTTAAGAAATATGATAAATACCACCAGAATAGAGAAGATTGCAGGGTTAACCATTTACTGAAACAATATATTTTTCACAAATTTCTCTCAACATAAAGAAGCTTATAATTCAGTTTGTACACTAAGCTAATTCTGTTGCTCAGTGTACCACATGGTCCACGCCTCTACCTCAAAATGAAGCATACTCAATCTGTGAAGAATATATACATCGTATCATTTGTCAGGAAAGGGAAACAGATATCCTTAACTATAACAGCTTGACAAGGGTACATATATATGGCCGATATAATATCAAGATCAATGTAGAGTATAATTCAAAATGCCAACTAGAGCTGTCAATTCGGGTAAATGGGTCGGGTAAAAGTGGGTCGGGTCAACTCGGGTCAGGTCAATTCGGATTAATTCCATAACCTATGCGGGTCGGGTTTGGGTTGGGTCATGCAAGTTGTAAATTGGTAAATTGGTCGTTTACAGGCAAATTGGATTGTTCCAACCACCTAACTTAACTCTCGGAGGAATATAAAGAACCATGGTAAACATTTCGTCAATTTTTATTTTCGGGCGAAAAAAAGTCAAAAAATTCAAAAATTGAAGGCTAATATTCACGATTTTTGAGAAATTTTGGAGGTTTCAGGACCCAGTGTAGAAAAGTCTTGATATTTTAGGGGATACATCTCGAGGTCATATAATGCCGTTTGGAACCATATATGATCATCATATATTGTCATAAATGTTCGTAGTATGCTTGAGATAATGAAATCCGTGCAAGTTGTAAACCGGTAAATTGGCCGTTTAAAGACAAATAGGATGGTTCCACCTACCCAATTGGACGCCTGAAGGGTATTAGGGCCCACGGTAAACATTTCGGCAATTTTTATTTCTAGTCAAAAAATTCCAAAATTGAGGGTTGATATCCACGCTTTTAGAAAAATTTTGGAGGTTTCGAGGCCCACTGTCGAAATGCCTTAAGATTTTAGGGGATACATCTCGGGGTCATATAATGCCGTTTAGAACCATATATGATTATTATATGTTGTCATAAATTGGTAGGCTTGAGTTAATGAAATCAGTGCAAGTTGTAAATTGGTAAATTGGTCGTTTAAAGGCAGATTGGATGGTTCCAACCACCTAACTTAACTCTCGGAGGAATATTAGGGACCACGGTAAAAATTTCGGCAATTTTTATTTTCAGGCGAAAAAAAGTCAAAAAATTCCAAAATTGAAGGCTTTTTGAATTTTAGAGGTTTCGGGGCCTAGTGTCGAAAAGTCTTAAAATTTTATGGGATACATCTAGGGGTCATATAATGCCTTTTGGAACCATATATGATCATTATTTGTTGTCATAAATGTTCATGGTAGGCTTGAATTAATGAAATCGGTGTAAGTTGTAAACCGGTAAATTGGCCGTTTAAAGACAAATTGGATGGTTCCATACACCCAATTGGACTCCCGGAAGATATAAGGGACCATGGTTAACATTTCGGCAATTTTTATTTTCGGGCGAAAAAAAGTCAAAAAATTCCAAAAGTGAAGGGTAATATCCACGTTTTTTGAGAAATTTTGGAGGTTTTGGGTAAAGCTGTCAATTCGAGTAAACGAGTCGGGTTGGGGTCGGGTCAATTCGGATTAATTCCATAACCTATGCGGGTCGGGTTTGGGTTTGGTCATGCTTGAGTCGGGTCACGTCGAGTCAAACTTCTTATCGGGTTTGGGTCGGGTTTAGGACGGGTTAATAACAGGTCGGGTTACATTCGGGTCGGGTGAATAATAGGTTAGGTTTAATCCGGGTTTTGACAATTTAAAACGGGTTAGGGTAATTCTCGGGTTCGACTCGGGTTCGGTTCAAGTCAATAATTTACGGGTTAGAATTAGATCGGGTCATTCTCGGGTTTGAGTTGGGTTCGGTTTAAGTCAATAATTTGCGGATTTAAATCAGGTCGGGTCATTTTCAAGTCGGGTCATTCTCGGGTTCAAGTCGGGTTCGGTTTAAGTCAATAATTTGCGGGTTATTATCAGGTTGGGTCATTTCCAAGTTGGGTCATTCTCGGATTCAAGTCGGGTTATGTTCTAGTCAATAATTTGCAAGTTACAATCAGGTCGGGTCATTTCCAAGTCAAGTCGTATTTGGGTTATGTTCCACTAACTATAATTAGATAATTATCATTTTTATCTAGCTAATTATTTTCTTTTATTATATTATATATGGCAATACTAGGGAATTATAGTATATAATTTAGGAAGATATATTTAACTCTTAAATTTGAGGATGCAGCTTCTTTCTTTTGTTGACGTGGACTGACTTGGTCTCCCTAGACAAAATGCTTTGATCAACAATAATAAGGTGGTCTAAATTGCATTTAAGGTGATTGAAATCGGGTCAGGAACAATTTGGGTTGAATTTAGGTAGGGTCAATAACAGGTCGTGTTGATTTCAAGTCGGGTTAGTAACATATCAGGTTAAATTTTTGGGTCGGGTTAGTAATAGGTCTAGTAAAATTCGGGTCGAGTCAATAACAAGTCGGGTTGAATTTGGGTCAGTTCAATAACAAGTCGGGTTGATTTCGGGTCGGATTAGTAACAGGTTGGGTAAAATTCGAGTCAGGTTAGGAACGGTTCGGGTTGAAATCGGGTCAGGTTAGTAACAAGTCGGGTTAAATTTGGGTTTTGACGGGTTAAAACGGGTTTGGGTCAATTTCGGTTCAAGTCGGGTTCGGTTCACGACTTCAGGTCAATAATTTACAGGTTACATTCGGGTCGTGTCATCTCCAGGTGAGTTCATGTTTGGGTTCGAGTCTCACATACTCGGGTCAACTCGGGTCTAGGGTTGGTTTCAGGTCGGGTTTGTGTCACCATTTTTCAGGTTTAGATGGGTCTGTTAATAATCGGGTTTGAGTCGGTATTTCGGGTCAGGTCAACTTTTGACGGCTTACTGCCAACACAATTGACACATGTCAAACAAGTGGTCTGAGGAAAAAAAAATTCTTGGGCTGCCTCAGTACCTCTGATAGGACAAATAGGTATCCTGAAGCAAAAGGAGAGTTATGATAATTAGGAGCTATAATTTTGGCCTCACCTTAAATTTTCTGGCTATCGCTTTTGTCCACAACATATCTTTCTCGTCATAGGCAAAGCTTATGCTTGAAGCTAGAAGCACAAATCCCACATCATTCTCCTCCCCATGCCCTGTGTTTTTGCAGAGCAAAGTGGCTGTATTAAAATAGAACCAGTCTCCTCAGGAATAGCCTCCTCCAGCACTGAACCTGTAATAAAATGAACAGTGTACCATTATTTCAAGAAAAACAAATGCACAGATAGGAGCACCTTTGGGATACATCATACATGCATTTCAGCAAGTTGGAGAGTCATAATAAGGTTGTCGCACAAGATTATTAACTCATAATTTTGATATTCTTCTTTGCCATTAAAAATTCATTGGAATGTCCATAAGCAAAGAGGAAGCCTCTCCTTGGTCATTTAATGACCAAAGTTCATATACAACACCAAAACAAGACTTATTGCCTTTGAAGAACGCCGCCATAAGTCACGGAAAGAGTCCATTTCTCAAAAGCCAGGGATCATATATCTTCGCAAAAACAGAACATATGACAATGGCCCAGCCTGATCCTAACTGCTATATAATCAATCTCTACGAATAATTTCGCCCAAAGGATTCATTCTATGTCCACCAAGTTTATACTTTATCTATGAATTTATCCCATTGAAATCGTTACTAGTCGTGCTAAAAGATGCACTGTGAACACCAATGAAAAGGATAAGAAATAAATTGTAAGGACTAAAGTTTTATAGGCTCCCAAACCATTCACCCAAGTTTGATCGGCTACTTTGACCACATAATCCATAGAAAATACCTCTGGGACTCATGTTTTAGGCTATTAATCATAATAGGTCAATGGTGAATTTCTTCTAGAGCAGGGTGAGGAATACCAAGGAAAACTTGGAGAAGTGAATCCTTAATAGCATTACACCTAAGTTCTTTCACAGCCACCAATTGTAATCAAATCTGCACACACGTCAAGAGTTTTTGTTGAGGAGTCTTTCAGGCTCCCAACTCCCATGTATCACCTATGTTTCATTTTGGTAATCTTAGTTTTGACCACACATAACACAATTCCCATATGGCCTACCGAGCAATAACCACATGACAAAAATGCTATAAATTACAGACACACCCTCATAGAAACAAATGAAGATTAGAACTATAAGAAGGAAATTTGGAGAGACCTTAATCACCATAGGTTCATACCCAGCAAGGAGTTGCTTTAGATAGTATAGTAAACTATTAAACGTAATAGTAAAATTCACTAGGAAAGCATAAAAATTAAATGATTCAAATTCCCTAGTTTTGTAATAAATGGAGGATTCATCAGAAGGTATTATTCAGTAGATATAGTCATATCGATTAATAGTAATAGTAATAGTAATAGTAAGCCATATCATAATTCACCTGTGCTTTGGGAAAAATAGAGTGTCTCCTTCAAATCAGACAGACCATATTTCTTTATCTTTTCCATAAACCAGTTGACAATCCCATGCTTTGATAGATTTTCTGGTAAGTTCCAATAGCCACGGACACAGATCACATCTTGCAAAGATACAAGCTGAAATATAGAAAGAGTTTTTGTAAGAACTTATCAACCCATCAAAGGCTTTTTTTGTTGGGGATGCAGAGGTGAGGGGTGGGGAAGGGGTGGCATGCAAATATTATGCATCATATCCCATAACTAATGTGAGCTTACCACTGAGACAGATTTTGTATTACGTAGTAGAATATATGTTGTCCAAGCAAGGTCCTCCTTCAGGGTATTTGTAACATTGGGGGACATTACAAAGATTTGTTGAGCACGTACAGGAAGAGCTGTTAGCTTTTCTGGTGTTGCTCCCTGTTTGGTATTAAGATATCAGTCTAAAGAGCTATCAAGATTCATACTTCCCACATACTAGCTACATCCAGATTATACTATCTAGTGGCTACCGACTCTAAAAAATAAGCAAAAAGGTGCCAACCTAAATATGACCAAGGGAAGTAACAAAACACACACACACACACACACACGCACGCGCGCGCACACACACACACACATTCCATGCTGCTATAATAGACACACACACACATTCCATGCTGCTATAATAGTCATTGAATTATGTGGACACCTTGTTTTAGCGCACGCGAGCGCACACACACACACACATTCCATGCTGCTATAATAGACACACACATTCCATGCTGCTATAATAGTCATTGAATTATGTGGACACCTTGTTTTAGTTTTAGTTTCAGTTTGAACTGATTGCAAAAACAAAAATGGTATGATGTTTAAAAAGTTCTTAAGGTGCAAAGTATCTATCGCACTTTGTGGAAGCCTGGCAAGATTACCAGCAAACTGTTAATTTTATAACAAATCTCCATAAAGTATTGAGCGACTTCCCCTAGCACTTATGGATAATATTTAGTTATCCACAATAGTAGATGGCAATCAATTCACTTAGTTTTTATATATGTGAATGGTTTACAAGTTTTACAACATCTAGGTGACTTTCATCATATCAAAATAGTTTAGACCTCACTTAGCTACTTGGAGGAGTGTGTACCCTGTGTATAAGGATGTTAGAGCATTTTATTGCGCCATTTAGATTGATCTTCATGGAATCACATTTAAATCAAGAAAATTGATGGTGTAGACATTGCATGATAAATGTTAACTTCTCAATAGCATAACATTAACCGATTGAAGTCCCTATCCTTAATAGGCTTTACTATAATAGCTTGATAAACCAATTGAAAAACCAGCAGATGTAGAATATAATAATAGAAACTATACAACACAACTTAACATACAGCTTTACCTAGAGAAAGGATTCTTCTTTTATACTCCCTATTAAACTATCATTATAGTCTCAAAAATCAAATCAAACACTAATCAATCCAATTTTTACTAGCAAAAGGCGTAATCAATAAACAATAAATGAAATTTAGCATAAAACTTTACCTTGAGAAATCTTCCCACATAAGGAAGTGACGCGGAGAAAGCCGCCAATGATAGACCCAAAGCCTCAGAAACCTAAGAACACAATTCAATGAAAATTACTGATCAAACAATAACTATCACAACAATCAATCAATCAAAGTAAGCTATCGACTTACAAGCTGAGCTGGGGTTACAGGGGAACTCGAACCGGCAAAATGGTTGAGAACAAGAAGAGATCCAAAACCATAACCAATCCATCTGGGCAAGTAAGATTCATCCAACCAAGATATTCCTACAAAATCCCAGTTCATTTATACAAGCAAATTAATTGAAATAGTAAACAAATCTCAAATCATATAATAATGCACACAAGGTGTTTGTGTTTATGCCTCAGAGAAAGATGAACTAACCGAAGGTAAATCGAAGTACAGAGAGGTTTATTTGTTGCTCGGAATTTGTGGGTGTCGAAGAATCATCAAGCTTGGCTGATAATTTCAAAGATTTTCTGGGATTCCTTCTGGTAACTACGCCATGAAGATGATGATGACAAGAGTTGGCGCGAAATGGGAATGCTAGGTTTAACGGTACCAACTGATTTCCAATTAGAATACCCATTTCTTTTTTAGTTCGAAAATACTGGAAAAAGTATATAAAAACACAATTGTTTCAGAATATTGCAAATCTTTTTTCAGAGATTCTACGTATATGTGTGAATTGGACAAGTAATCAATGGCTGAGATTTTAATTTGATGTTATAATAATTTCTATAGCTAAATTACCTTAAAACTAACAAAAAAAATTGAAGTATGATTAATTTAAGGGTTTTTCTATATAGTAATCCTATTTTTTTTTTTTCACTTTTCTACGTTGTGCCCTAATATATATCACTTTCTACACTGTAACCCCAATATATTTTTTGTTTGCATACAGTAACCCTATCGTTATCTTGCCGTTAAAAAATTCTATTAGTGGGGCCCACTCTCCATTATAAATATTTTTTTATCGATTTGTGCGTTGAAAAATTTTCCGTCAAAGGTTTCGAGCAAAAAAATAACATAAATGCCTCGTTTTTGTGTTAAAATGTGTACACGTAAATCGAGACATTTCTTAATAAGCGAAACGAGGCATTTACGTTATTCTATTGCCAAATCTGAGCTCAATTTGGATTCCTAAGGACCAAAATAGCCCTCCAAACCTTTGACGGAAAATTTTTCAACGCGCAAATCGATTAAAAAATATTAATAATGGAGAGTGGGCGCCACTAACAGAATTTTTTAACGGCAGGGTTACCGTATGGAAACAAAAAATATATTGGGGTTACATTGTAGAAAGTGATATATGTTGGGACACAACGTAGAAAAGTGGGAAAAAAAAAACAGTGAAAAACCCTTAATTTAAATATGATTGAAAGTTAATCATTTTGTCTAATGTCTAGACCAAAAGATTGATATTCAATTAACGTTACAAAAAAAAAAATAGTCCTTTAAGTTGTTTGATAGACATGCGAATGTAATGAATATTTTTGTAGTTAATACGAAGTATTAAAGTGTTTTGGTTAAATTTATCCTAGTTTATACAAAATGAAGATCTTTGCTTATCCTCCTATTTCATTTTCCACAATGGATATATAACTTTTATCCCGTTCCTTCCTTGTTCAGTTGATATGGCTCCAGTAGTCAAAGCCCTTTAATAGCGAGCCATAACATACTGGCTGTTGTTAGAGAGCCAGGGGCAGGCAGCGCCGGAAATAATCAAATTTGAAAGGCAGCACAAGATTTGTCATTTCTAAACTTTGGCTCTATTGTTTAAGCAAACTTCGAATTCTAAGTAATGCTAAAAAAACCAAATACAAGCAATGACGTGCATAGTTTCAAAACAGAACCTCAAAAATAAAGATTTTGCAACAGCAGAATGAAAGCAGCTAAAAGCATGATCAATACTTCAGGTTGGTCTGTGATGAGAACTGATTAAATTTGAGTTATCCAAAACGAAACATTCCTCTGGGTTTTGGATGCACAAGAAGAGACCGTGTAAGGTTTATCCGCATCACAATTCCTTCTTCTGAGCTTTTGACCTTGCTGGTCTTGGAGGTTTGACAACAGAACCCAGTATTAGAAGGACGACAGGAACAATGGTGCCAATGTAATACACACTTCCGTACGCAGTCAAGGTTTCATGCAAGCTTAGTACCTGGAATGACAACCTCATTTAGTTATTAGAATGCGGAAAGTATCATGGCAACAAACAGCAGCAAATCTTCACCCAAAAAAAAAAAAAACAGCAAATTCTCCCAAAATCACACTAGGGATCCTACTGCAAAAGTTGGTCAATTTCGTTTGATTTTTACATTCCACAATCCACACTTCTTGGTTTTATCAAAACTCCCCAGATCTGAGACCTGAGGGGCCAAGCCTACATACCGATGCCTTGGGGAAACAGGGACTGAGAAGGTTTCCTCCAAAACCTCACCCCTGAAAGGCTGGAATCTACAAACCATCCAAATTCCACATTCATCAGGTCATCATCACCCACCATAACTAACACAGCAGCCCCACTAAAGACCCACCTTAAAAGGCCCAACCAAAACAACCTTAAAGTCACAAACGCCGGCATGGCACTGCCACCAACACAACTTTAAAAAAAAAAAAAAAAAAAAAAAAAAAAAAAAAAAAAAAAACACCATGATAATCATTAAATATTCCAATTATTTGATGGTTAGAGTGGAAAAGGCTTGGTGTCATCTATTTGACAAAATCCTCATACCAAAGGCTTGAGTGAGATATAGTAGGTTGAGGTGGAAAGAAAAGAAGGGTAAGAAGGTGTAAGTGAATATGAGCAACAGCATCAGTGGGAGCATATGAAAAGAGAGACACGGTGGGAGGGAAATAGAGGCACAGAGGAAACGAAGGTAGAGAAGGGAAGAACAAACTAACAGAGACATCAAACCTAGGAGGACTGAGAAGAGAATAAGTAATGAGTGGAAGCTGGCAAGGTTTGAGTTTAAATAGTAACAAAACATAATTCATGAGGTAAGGGTTTCAGGGTTATTCATATTACTTATCAGTTACTTATTCTAAATCCGAGTGTTTAACGCCAAAGCCCATACCATGAAGTACACAATAAATTAATCAGAACCAAACAGGCCCTGGGAGATTTGAAAAAATGAGAAACGATGGATGCAAGGAAACTAACCATAAAACCAACTGCTGAATAATTCAGAACCAGCATTGTATATGCAAAATTTACAAATGTCAATAGCTTCTTCAAAATACCCGCAGATACACCTTGCTGCCATCTGTAAATTACTGTTGAACGTATAAAACAGAAATGAGCATAAGTTTAAAGATTAAAAAAATAAAAAATAAAAAAAAAAAGCCATCAGCAGAATTGGATCAAGTAATACCTTTAGACCCAGCAATCATCAAAGCCGACTGAACAAAGAAAAATATGTAGCCAGGATATAGTCCCTGTTTTTTCAGAACAGCCAGGAAAAAAGAAATCAGTGAGTGAAGCATATCACACTTATTGCTGAATATATAGGTGCACAAGTACTGGGACACGCAGAAACTTAATTCCATGAAGTTATGTAACTATATAATGGCAAAAAAACCAAACAAATACTCAAGAATCAAGATTCAAATTATCCCATAGAAGACATGGATGGATGACAAACAAGGAGTGATCTTGCATGCACAGAAATTATACGTATCTAAGAGATGTATGGTTATCCGCTTATCCCTTATTTCACTGTATCGTCTAAAGCTAAATGACAGGCCAGGGGACTTATTAGTTCAAAGAAGAAGACTCACATGCCAAACAGCACTGACTGTCTGTGTAGCGAGCAGCTGAAAGAAACCACCCTTCTTGTTCTTCTGGACCAGTCTCTCATAGACATCTGTGACAAGCAAAGTGTTGCTTCAGATACACAAAATTGGTGCCACAGTGAAATAATGAATGAGAAAATAAATCTTGTAAGAAGGTATACAAAGGTTATTAATAGCACAATACAGCAATATATGATGAACAGTAGAATAAATATGATAAGAGGCCAAGAAACATACAGTGGCGGAGCCAGGTGCTGACTTGTATATTCCAGACAAGTGGTATCTGAACCGCACTCTTTGCCAACTCAACTCCAATGATATCGACATTTTGGGCACGATCCCACTTGGGCTTTGGTGGGGATGTATTTGTCCATCCACTAAATCCAAAACCTGAAATTATTGTAGCAGCTTCCGAGATAGACCAGATGAAATAATACTTCCACCGTGCTGTAAATCCACACAAGTACTGATAACCCAGCTTTTTAAAGAATCCCCATTCCCCATACGAGGGGTTCGTAAAAGTAGACAAGGGGAAATATGGCACCAAATTCAAATAGAGAGCCATGCATATAGCAGCTCGAAGAAGAGCCCGACCTACTCCACCCCAAGGTGATGGCTGTTTCTCCGATGGACTCCAAAGCTGCAAAGACAAAGAGCACAATCATGATTCCAAGTTTGTTCCCTGACACTTGTAATTTAAAAAAAAAAAAAAAAAAAAAAAAAAAAAAAAAAAAAAAAAAAAAAAAAAGAGCACGATGACGAACAAGAGTGCTTCATAAACCGACCCCTTTTCCTTCTGTCCAATCAAGATAATCCTTCATTTCAAATACAGGTCCAGCAAGGTGACTCCCGCAGCAGAGGCAATATCCAACATATTCAATCAAGGAGGGCTTTTTCAGCAACCGGTTCTTTTTCTGTGCTTCACGTAGGTCTTCATCTTTCAATAGTCCATCTTGATAATTTATTGCGCATGAGATGACTTTGAGCGTCAAGACCATCAGAGCACCTGCAAGGAAATCAATAGTTTTAAAAACGGACAAGCAACATACAGGATACAGAAATTTGAGAGAAACTAACGCAAGCAATGGCAATCTGAAAGTTCCAGTCACACTCTTAGTTCAATGTAATCTTCAGTTATTTTCATCTAAATGAGAAGCATTAGACTTATATTTATAGCTTGGTTGCCAGAAGTCATAAGTTTAGGCACCTCGCACCTGACTCAATTGGTGGAGCTTGGAGGACTTATAGATGTTGTTACTCTATTCCTCAAGCTGCTTGAAGCAAAGATTGGGGAAGGAGGAGGATGGGGGGGCCTAAAATTGTGGAAAAGGATTTTACACCTACAAATATGTTGATTTGGCTAATTTAGAGATATTTTATGAAAATCCGCATGATTTTAGACTAAAACAACAAAGAAATAATAAATTAAAATTAAAAGAGAGATATTCTTGCTATTTAGACTTTAGAGTGATATACTTTTCAAACCTACAAGACGTAAGATTTAACACTAAAACAAAGCAAAAGAAAGAAAGAACAGACAAGTTCACGGAAATTAGATTTCCAGCTAGTTGGCCATACAATGTTGGAGCACTAATATGGCTCAAATATAAATGTCCAGATGTAACAAATAGATGTTTATCCCATACAATGTTCTCAGCATAAGCACAGTAATGCAGTTGGTTCCATGTATGGCAAAAAGACAAAATCTATAGAGAGAGAGAAAAACAGTAATGCTGGCATCCATCTTCATCACCAATTTGAGCTCAATTCAACAGTAGTGTGACTAGTGTCAGCTAAAATATGATAAAATAACAAGAAAGATGAAACCTTTCAATATTATATCTCCTCCACATAAAAAAGGAAATTGACGGGAAATACTTATTAGCATTCCGCATCAGCAATACAGTACCAACTTGAAATTTTGCACCTAAAATCACCGATTTTCACTCTGTTCGTGCTATATGATACAACAATTGCCACTGAAAGAATGTTTGGCTAAAATATTAATAAAAAGTTGTTTGATATATAGAAGAATCCAAATAGAAATAAAGATAAAAACTCTGATGATCTGAGACTAAATTTCATCAATTAGGGACTCTTAACAACATTCAGGAAACAAAGTTCATTAAGGTATTGTAGAATTATTCCAATATGGCCAACCATTACATCACATTGCACCAAATAGTGTGAGATGGTGAAGGTAAACATTAATTATAGCTGCAAGAAGCAGAAACAATATAGCAAGAAGTTACCAGTAGTGTCGATTCCACCCTCCTTCCATGCATCTCCGCTCATGTAATAAACATGGCTACAAGAGAAAACGGATTTAAAAATCAAAACAGCGTTCAACATATTCAACGGAACACAGTACATCATTTTGTAACATCATCTCAGCACGAACTACCTCCATGCGAAAATTATTTTCATAGTCATCATGTTCAAATGTGCTTGAAAGTTGACAATCTTCCACTTCTCTTTCATAGGTTTACATTGAAAAAGGTAGATCAATCCGAATGTACTACTAAGTACTGAATTTGTAAGGATTTAAAAAATAAAAAAGTCTGCCACTTTATTGATTCATTTTTAGTTTCAAGTACACCATTTATGAACTAGGCAAATTTGGAAATCTGGTGTGCTTAAATGCTAAGGGCTTTCTAAATCTTTGTGCCAAAGTCACAAAAAAGTTTATCTAGGGACGACGACAGGACAAATTTTTCTAAGAATATATTCATCAAATCTAGTGAACAAACTAAGCTATAGCTACAGAGTCTAATATGTCGATTCTACTTTCAATTGCTAATCAATATAGTCTTTATTACCTCACTTTCATGCTCCACAGTCCACACAAAACCATTATTGAGTACATATTCCATGGTGGTATAATGTATATACTAAACTCCCTCCTCCCTCCTTTCTCCAATTCTCCTCAATTAGCACCCTTTTTTACTCCAATATACAAATTCTTGACCCGAAATCGATAAATACTTAAAAAAAGATTCAAACTTCAATCATAGCAACTGCAATGTAGTACGGTTCTCCGTACCGTGCAACAGTAACCGCGTTAACATCGAGGCAAAACATCACAAAATCCTTATTTCATCCTACACAACAACAAACTCCACAAACCAAATGCAATAGCAAACTACTGAAACCAATCCTGGTCTCCTGGATTAACGACAGCAATAAAAATTAAAACAAAAAAACAGGCAAAAACAAGTTTTCCATCCAGTAACTGAGGGACAAAATCAAACAAATTTACAATCTTTATCACTCAACAGTGTCAACACTGCCAAATCAATACTACATAAAATCACAAACTAACATTAAATCATAACAAAATACAAAAACAAATGAAGCAAATTAAATACTTGGTATAACATAAATAGACGATATTCCCATAAATTAAAACCAATTAAAAACCAAAAAAAATACCAAAAAACCCAATTCTGAATAATGAATCTGAGAAACTTACCAACCAATCAAATACCCAAATGCGGCGAAGAAAGCGATGAGACCACATTTAGGTCGATAAACAAGCATAGAAAGATACCCAATCAAAATAGAAACAAGAAAATGAAGATTGGAAGAAACCCCAAAAGAAAGGTAACAAAGAAGGGCCCCAGTAAAAGCAGCATAGATGTGTTTCGGAAGAGTTCTTGGTACCAAACGCCATAAAAAGCTAATGGGTATTGTGGCAACATAGCATAGGAGGAATCTGAGCACTGGTACTGATAACCCCAGAGCAGCCGCCATGGACGACATGTCGAGGTCCATGGTTGGCGAGTCACCGAGTTGTTTGGCTGAGTTTTGGGGAAGACGAAGACGAGTTAATTATTAATTAAATAAAAGGGTGGATGAAAATAAGGAGAGTAGAAGATGGGTAAATTGAGTAGTGGACCCCCAAGAAGTTATGGAGATGTGTAAATTGTGTGAGACTGATCAGAGATTTGTTGGAGGAAGAAGTTGATGTGCAACTGTTTTTTTTTTTTTTTTTTTTGGTGGATTAAATTGGGTTTTTTCAATTGGGTATATTTGGATTTATCATTTATGGGTTAATTGAGTTGGTTTCAGAGTTTCAGTGACAGTAGACCAATTGTAGACTTCTGGCTGTAAGAGAAAGAGTTATGTTCAAGTTTTGGGTTGCTTAGGTTGTGCCTTTAATGATAATGACCAAAAGGGGTAACAATCTTTGATTGTATTGACCAAAAGGGGTAACTATCTTTGATTGTGAATTGTATCTAGCTAGAATGGTCCTACCTAGGGCTTGGACTCTAGAGGCATTGTGAGTTGTGAGACTTGGTGACTATGGGGGTGTGGGCATGTGGGTAAAGGGGGTGTATGGGGTACCGAGTTGAGGTGTAAAGTTGTTGTGTGAAGAATGCTTGAAATGATATACGTATTCTTTGTATAATGAAGTTAGTGTAGATGGAGGCATTATGTTGATGGTAGTTATTGATAGTGAATTAGGGTTACTGAGGTAAAGCTGGGATTCTGGAAAATAAAGTTTAGTTTGTATTGTAATAAGTTTTTCAAGGTAAGATTTAGTGACCATAAAAATAAATTATGTTTTCTCCATGATGAGATGAATAGGATATTGTTATAAGTGAGGTTCAAGTTCTCTTGGGTCCAATGTGTTACTAAATATGTGATAGATCTATTGGCTCTTGTAAGAATACCAAAATTACCCACCCACTTTAAGCCCAAGAGGATCTGGGCACAAATCAAGGGTCTGGCCATTATAACAAATGTCTGAAAAACCTCTCTAAGGAGAAACGATTGTTAAGGTTCATACATAGTTTAATAAGAGTCTGTCAAAGCCACATATTAAGTGTTGTTCAAAAGATTTAAACATATAACTAATCGTAGTTAATCATAATTGCACTCTTAAGCTAACAAAATGTGACATCTTAATTACTACTCAACTAGGTTCAAAATCAAAAGGGTTTTCTTGGATACACATATACCTGAGGTCATGCTTACTCGTATATGCACTTTAAACTATGATAATGATTATATTCTTTATGCACACAAAGAAGCGCGCAAGATAAATGTGCAAATTAGGGCTCAAAAGTCAAAGGCAGACCACGATAATGATTATATTCTTTATGCACACAAAGAAGCGCGCAAGATAAATAGTCAGTGAGGGTTTTCATAGTGTAAACATTACATAAGTGTATCAAAATTGAGTGTCTTCATTCGCAAATAGTAAAAATGCTTTAAGAGACAAAATGGGACGATTCATATTGTTGGAAAAAAAGAAAGGAAATTCAAAGGGTCAGATATGGGCGCCCGATCAGGCGCCCGACTGAGTGAGACCCGCCCGATCGGGCGCGAGAAGAGTAGTAAAATTCTGGAGTTCCGCCGCCCGATCGGGCGAGCCTCGCCCGACCGGGCGCGAGAAGACGTCTAGAAAAAAGGAGTGTTCGCCCGATCGGGCGAGCTCCGCCCGATCGGGCGCGTGTTTGTCTGTTGGACTCCAACGGTTCCCTTGGATTCCTTTTCTTGTTTGATTTCTTGTAACCCCCCATTTAAGAGGTTGATTATGGTGTTTTAATCACCATAATATTTTTTATTTCTTTTCTTTGTTCACAGAAGATTCCTCCGTGATCTTTCATCTTCTTCTATCATTCATCTCTATATTGGAGGATATTTTTTCTGATTTTCACATACACAAGAAATACATATCAAACACAAGCTTGCTTAAACACATACTCTATATTGGGCATAAGTTACTTGGCTCCAACCTTCCACCCAAAAGTGTCTTTGTGTAGAAGTGGTGTGTTAACCTTAGGGAACGTGCCGGCGAATACAAAAGTGCACCCCGGTTGCGCCGGAATTTCGTTTTCAAGTCAGTGATTTGCATCACGACACACCGTACTCTTTCATTATCTCAAAATCATCTTTTCGATCTTCTTATTTTAGAAATATAACCTTGAAAATAGGAGACGGATATTTCCAATTAATTGACAGTTGAGCGTTTTACCACGTTTTTCGGGGACAGTCTAGCTTTGGTTTCGGTTTTTGAAGTCTGAGCATTGTTTCTTATATTACAACGCTTATTTAGATATTTTTCACTAGATAAGTTCTTTCCCTAATTTGTATTTTAAATGAATATTATTTTTATTTTAGGGGTCAGGACTCAAGAGTAGCAAAGTCATGCTATGGCACATATTACATCACTCAATAATCTTACTAGAGTATGGGCAGAAGGGTGCCTTATCCGTCATGAAATTCAAAGGTACTACTTGATATGAACTCTCATCCATTTAATTTTAGTTTGTTGTATCAGAATTCAGATGACCATGACTTGATGAGGCGATGATAGATCTCAAAAATAGGGTTAGCTTTATTATTAAATGGTTAGGATGAGGTACAATTGTACACGTAATCGTGGAAGTGACCTTGGCAGGAGGGAAGATTGTCATGGGCTAAGCCCAATGTGCTTGTGGTCTTTGTGAATGGGTCTTATAGTGCAATTTTACTTGTAGTGCAATTTTACTTGTCTTGTGCTAATTCTACTTTGGGCCTTAAACTTTTGCTTTCAAAAGAAAATGGTTTTTGCGGAGTACTAGAGTGTGTGAATTAAGGCCCAAAAGTCAAAGAAACGATACAAACACAAGGGAGGTTAATTAGTTTTTTTACACACACAAAGAAACATGCTAAAGAGAGAGTTAATGAAGGTTTCATGCTTCAATAATGCATTTATCACGTAACCAAACACTATTGTGTTTGAGGGGCTAAGAAATGACAATGTCCTCCCTAGTTGAATTTTTCAACAGGTGTTCTATATTTGGATATAATGGAGGTTAGTGAATCGACTCATGCTACAACTTATATTAACACATTCAATTATACTACTAGAGCTTGGGAAGGAAGATGTTATATGATTAATAATTTATTAGTTATAAATATTAATGATTTAATGTCGTGTATGGTGTACTATTCTAGAATATGCTAGTTTCCAACGCAAGAACAACCTAACTATTCTCATTAAATGAGAAAAAGAGAACATTTTTTTAAAAGGAACCTTCAAAGAATAGAAGGGTAATTATGGCCACAGTTGATCACAAAACTCATTATCTAATTGGCTTGTGAAAGCGCTATTAAAGACTTGCGTGGATCTGGTCCACAATAATGTTATTGTGAACCCGAGGTTTATACACACGCAACTGACATTATATTAAACATAGCGACCCTTAATTTTCACATAGTAACCTTATTTTTAACATAGTAACTGTTTCGGGGTTTTCTGATATCCTGCGGGAGAGTTACAATTTCGAGACTGGAATCGGACGCCTGTACCTGCAAAACAACGGAGACTCCTGGTGGTGGGAGCTCCGCCTCCAACGGTCAAGTTAGTACTTGATTAAGGAGTAATTAATGCGGAAATTAAAGTGATTGGGTCTCTCTAGGTGAGAGTGTTTAATGTGAGTTTTTAGCGTAATCAGCTTGTAACTCTGTGTGTAATCAATGTGTTTTTTCTGTAATCCCCCCTTAATGAGGATTAAGGGAGGTATTTATAACCTTGGGAAACGTGCCAATCCTAGGTTTAGGTTAACCTAGGGCTGATTGGGCTTCCCTCGGAAGTTGGGCCTGGGTGGCCGGTTTCTCCATTAGGCATGGAGTATGCCACGTGTCATGACATAACAGGTCCAAGGTGGACGAATAAGCGTGTGCCACGTGGCAAGCCCTGACAGTTCCAACTGGGGGACACTTGGCAGGACCTGACTGGTCCACGTGGCGCATTCCGATTGGTGGGAGCAAAATCCCCTAATCATTTGCCCCTCACAGGTGGCACGTGACTGGTCACGTGTTACCTGTGACAGGTGCCGCACTGTAACAGGCGACGGCCTGCTACAGGTGTCAGTCGGCGAATGGCCGAGAGATTTTCCCGCCCAAATTTTGAATTCTGAAAGTGACCCTTCGCCTTCTCACTTCGCCTATATAAGGGAGAGTTGTCTTGAGTCATTTTCACACTTGAGAACTTTGTGAGAGAACATTTGGACCCCTGAACTTGCTCTGACATTTTGGACCTTTTCTGCCTACCGCCTGTTCTGACAAGCCGACTGCACAGGATTTTCAGCACTTCATCAATCGTCACTCGTTCAGGTAACTGTCGGTTCTCTTACTCTTAATTTTCTTTTTATTTTGTGAAATGGCACCACGGAAGCACACGACACGACCTAGGTTAGTGATCAGCCGGTCACCGGGGACGGCTGAATCTAGGACTAGGAGTGTCGCCTGCCCTTTTCCGGACCCATCTTTGCCCTTTATACAAAGTCCGACTGTATCTGTGTCTATGTAGAGCAGGATGGCCAGAACAAAAAAGACTGCTAGGATCTCAAATTCAGACGGCTCCTCCCACAGGGTGCCGATTAGTGAAACATCTGACCAGGCGCCAGATGTGGAAGTGAAACAAGGCGGCCTGAAAGCCGGCAATTCTGAGGGAGGAGTCACAGTGACCCCTTCCCATTTAACAGTTAACAATTCTGCTCCTTTTCAAAGAGAGGAGGCGGGCCCCTCCGGGAGAGGGGAGGAGTCGTCCTCTTCGGACTCGTCAGAGAGCAATTCCGAGTCTAGCTCTTCTGGCCATGCTTCTCTGGACACAGAAGAGAAAAACAGCCGCCTGCAAGAGGCGAGGCTTTCTCACGCAGTTGAGAAGGGGGACAATTGGGCGGAGCCATCCGCCTCTTACCGAGAGCAAAATACCCCCTACTACTGCACGGTACCTCGGGGCCGGATCACAGTCATGCAAGAGAAAGTGGAGAGCTTTATCGCAAACCACAAAATGGGCCCCGACTTTTTAGTGTTTGTGTCGGATCCAGAAGACACAGTCGTCAGGCCGGCTGGTACCAGTTATGATAGCGCCTGCTTTAGCTGCTACGAGGCGGCCATCAAGGCTGGGCTGCGCTTCCCATTACATCCGGCTGTTCAGCGGATCTTGGATGGGTATGAGTTGGGGTTATGACAGTTAGCCCCGAACTCCTGGGTCAATGTACTCGGCTATGTGGCCGGGTGCGAACTGCACGGGGTGGAGCCGAGCTTCGAGGCTTTCGCCCATATGAACTATCTCAGCCGGACCCCTAAGGCAGGCGGTACCGGCTGGTATCAATTGACAAGCCACAGGGGCTACCTCATGACGAGAGGTAAAGCAAACAAGTGGAAGGACTGGCGGAGCACCTTCCTCATCATTG